CATTCGAAGTGTCTTCCTGTAAAGATAAATACACATTCCACAGAGACATAATCAGTTGTTTGTGTTTCATAGTACAGTGAGGAATAAACTTGAATATCGAGAGACTAGGGATACGAATGGACAATGGCCAGGCTATATATAAAAACAAAGTTTTAATTCATAACCTGCAGCGATCTGCCCAAGAACCAGCCCCTTATCTGCAATGAATAACTTAGGTGACCAGTTTGCTCTATAAGTCAAACCTGTAGGAAACCAGATTGCTATCTCTAGTGAAAATCATTGAAGTTAATAATAATTTCTGCAGTAATAGCCGTTTGGCCAGGATGTAACTGCAGCTCCCCTCCCCCACCTCTACCCTGCTTCTCACTTAGGAGCAACCAGGGAAAGCCAACTGTGTACCTCTTACCAATCATACAGGGTGTCTAGGGTTTTCTGCTTGTAGTTAACTTGCTTCCAGCTTCCTTCCTCATGACAAGAGCCTCCAACTAGAGCATACCTGTATCTTTCTGTTGTTTTGTTTGTTTGTTTCTGTTTTTGTTTTGGTGGTACTTGGTACTGAACCTAAGGGTACTGTACCATTAAGTTATAGCCCTGGTCCTTTTCATTTTTTAAGACAGTGTGGCTCAGGTTGGCCTCAAACTTGTGATTTCCCTGCTTGAGACTCCCTGAGTGCTGGGATTAGAGGGACAGACATGGTGGAGAGACACATGACATGGTGACCATCAGCCTTCCTTTAAAAAAACCTATAAAGTTTTCCTACCCCTCTGCCTGCTTTTGAGGCTCTGTTAAAATGCAAGCAGTGGTGGCTGACTCCTTTGCTACAGGGAGTGCAGAATAAACAGCCTTGCTTTTCTCATTTATTTGGTTGTGTCTTTCATTTATTTGCACAGCACTGTAGTTTAATAAATAGACTTTGTGGGCCTACTGGTTTCCAGGTTATCCCAACTGATGTTCATTCATTTATTCATTTACTAAAGAAACGTTTACTGAAAGTTTAACATGGGCCATATTGCTTGCTAAACATAGGGGCAATTAAACAGCACCTCCAGTAGAAGACCGCAGCTTCACAACTAAGAAGAACAGAATGAGCTGCTGTCCATTCAGTGCGCATCAAGGTATTGGGCCAGTGTTTTCTTTTTTCTATTTTTTTTTGTTTTTTTTTTGTTTTTTTGAGACAGTCTCTGTATGCAGTTCAGGCTGACTATGAACTCACGATGTGGCTGAGGGTGGCCTTCAACTCACAGCGATCCTCCTGCCTCAGCCTCCCAAGTGCTGGGATTACAGGCATGCACCACCATGCAGGGCCAGTGCTTTCTAAAAATGGTATGTGAACTGCTGGTTACATGAGGTAATTCCCAGGAAGGTGAAATGCAAGGAAAACGTTTACTTTAATAATCATAAAATTCAATGCAGGTTAGAGAAATAAGCATTGAAATCCACCAAACCCTTCACTTCACAGATATTGTTGCTTTAGAATGAGTTTGCATCAGTAAAAATCTACTAAGGAAATAAAAATCACTGTAGAGGAAAGAAGGCTCTCTATCTCCCTTAGTTCTTACATGGGTTCTTTGACCTGATCTAGGAACTCAATTAAGATAAGAGCTGCATAACAAAAGCATAAAAGTTTTATTAATTTTATAGGTACATGAACATCTTCACAAGAGAGTGAAATTTGAAGAAATAACCAAAATTGTGGTGCTTATATGTTTACAGACACAGAATAATAAATTTGTGATGGAATGACAGGACAAATGAAGATCTGGACTAAGGTAGTAAATTGTAGGGAGAGATACATGGGGAGTGTCAAAGCTCCTGCAAGATAAAGTTTACTTCAAAGGGTTTGTTTACCTAGGCTCACTGCAGTCCCAATTACTGGCCTCTGAGGTCAAGGCTATTTTCTAACCTTCCACTCCTTCTAAAAGAATCTTTATGGCCTGCTACATGTGAGAAAAGTCAGGCCAAAGGAACCTTTGTGAAGTTACAGTTCCTCAGATGATTTCAGTTTGAAATAATCAATAGACCAATTTGGCATATTTTACTTTCACTCCTTTAACATCCCTATTTTAACAGAGAATATCAATACAAAGAATTGTAAGTTGGACTGTAAAGAATGACAAAAGGCAAAAAGAGAACAGTAAGATGGCACGGAGGAAGCTGCCACAGGTAGGGAAGAGGTTGGAGTTGTTAAAAGTGTAGAAGTGTGGTCTGGGGATATAGCTCAGCGGCACAGCGCCTGCCTGGCAAAGGCAAAGTCCTGAGTTCAATTTCCGGTATCAAAAAAAGAAAAAGAAAAAACAGTTTAGAAGCTGAGGGGACCCAGAGAGGTAAAACTTAAGAGTTGCTGCTCAGTTAGTATTAGTTCCTCAGAATTGAGCGTTAGGAGTGTGGGGGTATGGGCGTGGTGGGGCAGTGGGCCAAGTATGGGACAAATGTCTGAGTGGGAGCCAGGGTGGGGATGGTGCTGAGATGTCTCTGAGGGATTGGTATGCGGCTATTTCAGCAAGTGTTGGAAGCACCGTAAACTGGTACTGTATTAACAAGTCATTGCAACACTGCCCTCTGTGGGTGGAGGTGTTTGGAGCATGACAAAGGAATAGGTAGCAAAGAGGAAGCAGTTAGGATCAAAACTTCCTTCCTCTAGGCTTGCCACCTCTCTGGCATCCACTGGCTGATCTCAGAAACGAGCCAGCTTGCTAGAAGCAATGAGGTTTGCTTAGCCCATGACAGGCTCCAAAGCTTAGTACGGTCTGACCTCTGAATCTGTGGGTTCCACATGTGTGGACTGGATCAACTGCGGATCAAAAATATTGTTATATGTACTGTAACTGTTATTCCCAAAATAACACAGTGTAACAGCTATTTATGTGACATTTACACTGTAGTAGGTCCTGTAAGTCATCTAGAGATGATTTAAGGTCTAGTGGAGGATGTGCTAAAGTTATATGCAAATATTACACCATTTATATAAAGGACTTGAGCATCTTCGTACTCTGGTACTTTTGAGGAGTCCTGGAACTAACCTCCTTGGATACCTAATGATGACTACAGAGGGTGAGGCTGGATCGAATAGAAGCAATAGTTTAATATCTGCTATAGTCCATGGCCTCCACATTCAGCTGCCACAAATCTCTTCTAAACATGGCCTTCCAGCAACAAGAGAAACATCTATTTTCACTTAATGTACTGCACAAGTCCTTTGTATATAAGATAATCCTCATGCTGCCTCCAAATTGAGACACAAAATTCCAGCAATTTCTGGGACAGTCACACTACTCGTCTTGACTTTGTTAATCACAACTAAACTTTAGTTACAGACCCACCTGAAAATTATTAAGACTAAATAGCAAAATTAACCCCTTAAAACACATCATAAAGGAGGGGAAGAAGAAATTAGCACGTGTGTATATGAAGAAAATTATGTGCAACTGCTGCAGAAAACTGTTTCTGGAACTGGTTCCTCACAGGCTGTAGTTTACTGAATTTCATTCTCCCCTACACATTCCATGTTTCTTCTTCCATCAGCTCCTCTGGGTTTGTATCTGGTAGGGTATTCCAAACCTCATTGCCTCAAGGATCGAAATCATTCCCCCGTGAGATTGCTGTTTTCCATTAACGTGTTATTAGACATGCAAGGGCTAAAAATGCCCTGGCAAATTCCCTGGGTTGAAGATAATGCTCCCTCACCTGCTGTGTGGGAATGGCACAGGTGCCCCTTTGTTGCCAGATCACTTGCACCAGCCAGAAGTGTAAATAAACTCTTAGTGGTTGGTTTAGTGGTAAAATGACCAGATGGTCTCAATTTGTTTTAATGAAACCAGTTTCCCCATAAGGGAGCACTCTTGCCTGGGAAGCCATCAAGGAAGGCAGGAAGCCAATCATCTGAGAAGAGTACAAGGAGCTGTCCCACTAACTTGATCACAGACCTCCCTTTTTGACTAGGGAACAGCCCCATGTAGTGGTCACAAAGTCTAAGCATACATTTCCTTTGGTTAGGCGGAGTGCTGTAGTTTATCGCATGCCATGCCCAAGTCTTCAGCAGGCCACCCCACCATTCTGTTATGCCTGCTGCTCCTGAGTGATGGGAATATGGTATGGCCAGGAAACTCCAAAGGACTGAGCGTACCATCTCATTTCTTTTACTGTACTGTGAAATGGGTTTGTCAATCAGAAGTAATGGTGTACTGAATATCACGAGTCCAATTAGTGGATTCCAGTGCTGGTACTATGGAGGAAGGAGGTAGTACTGCTCCAAGATGGAGAGAACTGGAAGATGCACCATTCTTACTCTCACAGTGAAAAAGGATCAGGTCATACTTTCACAACTTTTTTCATAACTCATCAGAGCCGAAGACACAGAGAAGCCAAAATTGAGAGATTCAGGGAGAAAGGAGACACATACTTCATTTATTTGCTGGGAACAAAATTAAATGAAATCATTAATTCTCAGAAGGCCTCAGCACACATCTTCGGACAGACAGATACATATAACTCTGTGTTTCTGTATTTATTTAGATAGGGTTCAAGCTGGAAGATCATCTGGGCAGTGGCAATTTCTATTAGGCTGTATCGTGAGAAACTGGTAACTGCTTTTGACACATAAAAGGCAATTTCTTATGGTTCAACTTAATATATCACTATATTCTAAGTTATTCTAAGTATATTAAGTTCAACTTAATATATCACTATATTCTAAGTTAATGGGTAGTTTCAGGAAATTAATATTTGGATAAAATTTATGTATTAATGAATTAGACTAAAATTATTATTTGGAAGCATAAGAAGATAGAAAAAAATATGTGAAAACCGATGTTTATTGCAGAACTTTACTCATATGCCTTAAACAACAAAACAAACTACCTGAAACTGACAATTAACTGGTGGCATACAAATGCTTCAGGCGAGAGGCTATGTTTGTTCTTTTTTTTGTCTTTTTTTTGAGACAGGGTCTAGCTATGCAGTTCAGGCTGGCCTTGAGCTCACTTTGTAGCCCAGACTAGTCGGGAACTTGCAATGATCCTCCTGCCTCAGCCTTCCGAGTGCTGGGATTATAGGCGTGTGCCACCACGCCCGGCTTGTTTGTTCTTGATGAATTAACATACAATAAATTCTCATGACATTTGATTCCAAAATGAATGCTTAAATTGGATTGACATAATTAATAATTTAAAGCAAAATGTAAACATAAGGGCAACCAAAACATTGGCATTAATTTCTAGGAGCCAAATGAAGGTCAGTGACTGGAGAACTATACACTAAAAACAAAAATCTCAGGTCCAAAAAATCTTTAGTAAGCAACTCTGTGCCTACTGTTACCTGAAGGTCAAGGGCTGGAATTATACTCTTGATGAATACCATTAGGAAAAGGATGTATAACATCTACCACATTTCTGTTTAAAAAACAGAATGTTTCCAAAATTACACATTTCTTTACAAATAAACATTACATATTAGCAACTATAGAGACACCACCAGGATGAACTCCAAAATATGTTGCTTTTACAGGGATCCCTGAGCCTTATTTGAAGGTATCCATTTAATCTTGAGGCTTTAAGAACATCTTCTTTGATTTAAATGGTTTCATGTTTCCATTTTCATCTTCTTCATAATTGGCACGGTCTCTCTTTTTGGCAAACTTTTTGCCAATTGTCCCCACCAAAGTTTCGTATCTGTTAAGACAGCACAAATAAAAAAGTTGGAAGCAAGTCTTCTCAGGAACATCAAACCACATACAACAAAGAGTATAAAAAATCAACGTTATGATTAAAAGAAACTATCCAGTTGAAAAATTTATGAATTTGACTAAGAATGTTAACATCTTTTGCCAGTTTTGCTTTTTGACATTATCCTAAATAAAATGAACTGAGCTGTACAATTCTGAACGTATGGAAGCAGCACTGGGAAGGAGCCCTTAACCACCAGCTTGCCATAGGCACGGGTCCACGGTGGCCACAGGAGGAGGCAGACTGCAGTGACCCCTGCTGGGGCACGCATGCTCAGGCTGCAACAGACTGGGGTGTCAGACGTGCACACGAGAGCCAGTGTCTGGCACGGCAGGCCACAAAACTGTCCCAAGGCAACAGTTACCTTCTAGCCATTTCTTCATCTGACACGTCAAGCTCTACTGTTTCATCCTCCTCTTCCTCCTCTGCTTTGTTCTTAGCATTCATCTGAAGCATTAATTTCTGAAAAATACACAAATGCTGGCCATCAGGGCTAGACAGGGCTATGAAAGGAACTGGTATCAAGTTTATTTGAAGGCAGAGAAACGGGAGTCACAGAATCTATAGGACTAGAAACACTTCTAAAAGATTTCCTGTAATGCTTTATGCAGACCACCAGTGCTGGCAGGGATAAGCTCTGAATCAAAGGAACAGAAAGACAAGGCCCTACCAGATTGCATTTAGTATCAAAAATTTAAATTGTATTTTAGATCATAAATCTTATTCTGTGTCACTCGTAACTACGGTGTGTACACCTTAATTAACACATTTCAGTGCCAGGGGAAAAAAACAAATGAACTTTGAGATTTCCTCTGAATTTCTCACCTTTGAGCCAAAGGGAAAGAGGGACAATGGTTAGTAGTAATTGCAAATGCCTCTTGTGGAGGAGGAGGGAGCCGCCACAACGGGACAGAGGTGTAAGCCTGGCCATGATATAGAGGATGGACTCTGCATCGTAGGCTCACCCCAAACTTCAGGGCAGAAAATGTTACCACACATGACGTCCCCAAGCCACAGGCTCTCCTTCGTCTCTTTCTTTCCTCACATGATTAACCTTTTCATGATAGTTATCCTCACAGATTAAAGAAGAAAAAAATGTAATACTTTCTTTATAGCAAGGGGAGGATGAGGAAAGTAGAAAAATGAGAAAACAGTTTCAACTGGTTTTCCTCATACTGAAAAGATTCAATACCTCTTCTGAGGGAGGTAGTCGGCATTACACAGTGCTGTGATTAGGGCTGCCTTCTGACAAGCTCCCACACAAAGTTCTGGGGGTTGCGTTACTTCTCCCTTCCCATTGTACCAGACATACTCTGGAGGGTGTGCTGACTCAAAACCCAGTTCTTTGGACAAGGCACACTCATAAGCCTGACTTCTTTTGCCCCCTTTTCTTCCCATCTAAACCTTAAAGCAGGCCAAAGCAAAGAAAGCATATATTAAAACAAAACATGGTTAATGTTGGCCTTGTATAAAGCAAATACAACACCTTGGTTTTCATACATATTCCTAAATCATCACTAAAAACAACAACAACAACAACAACAACAACAACCAAAAAAAAAAAAAAAAAAAGAAGAAAACTAAGCTATCATCTTTCCATGAAGTCCGGCAATGGGCTCAGGAACTGTGCTTTCCAGAGGCATCCTAGAGTAGTGGTTCTGGCCTAGGGAGGGTTTGCCCACTGGGAGACACGTGACAATGTATAGAGACATTTTTGGTTGTCACAATGGGTTGAAGGTGAGTATGTGCATGTTAGTGACATTTAGTGGGTAGAGGGCAGAGCCACAGGAGCTGCTGATCATCCTGCAATGCTCAGGAAAGACACCACCACGAAGAACGATATGGCCCCAAATGTCACTACCACCGAGGTGAGAAACCTTGGCTTCAGGCGTACTTATAAAACTAAAGATTTATACACAAATGATCATGTGAATGGTCAAGTAGCTGACGGGGATGGCTCTTAACCCACAGAGGTGATCAAAATAACAATGGATGTCTAAAAAAAATTATAGTAAGAGACACACTGCTACTAATTCCCCTCAAAATATTTCCTCTCTCTTTGAATACACTCATCCCATTGTTGTTTCCACTTTCTGGAGCAGTTCAGGAAGTTCTCTTTTGTGTCCTTACAAGGTACGCTCAAAAATAAGGTGAATGCTACTGTCGAGTGCCATTAAATACAAAAGCAGGCTCATAAGATCATTATGTGTCTTACCTACCATATTCACTAGATTTCACATTGTGCAACTTCTGCTCTTCCTAAAGTCAAAATGACCTCAAAAGGTAAATGTTGTGAATTGATTTAGGACACTGAGGCAACTATGACATTATAACTAAAGACAGACATGAAGGAAGACATCCAGAGCTACTTCATAAAGTGGTAAGAATGATGGAACATGTGTGTTGCAAGTGAGGGGTGTGTATCCTGAGGGGGACTAATGGCAATGTGTCTCCTATGGTTATAAATTTAAAAAATGTAAATATTCACTGTGTTTTTAGATCACACCTTAATAAATGTGTTAAATAAAAGTCTGCTTCTCTGCAAACCTACATTAGGCAATTTTAACCACCAGCTCAGTTACAAGGTTAAATTTTCATTTTTTCAATAGACTTTCTAAAAGATTCACTTAAAAATTTATTTGTAAGTTTAGATTAAAACCTCTCTATTAAAAAGTCAAATCACACAACTTTTAAGTAACATTTTTCATCAGAAAAGATACACTTATAGATGCCAGAAAATAACTTCTCATAACATCATCATATGAATAAAATCTTGACATTCCTATAAAAGACTTGAGTTGAGATTCTGACAAAGGCACCGTCAGAGTTTGTATACTGCTATATTAAACTATTTACTGAATTATTCCATAAAACTAGACTGCAATGCCTGCAATTTCTTTAAATAGCTACGGCAATATTTCAAGACTTGTTATTTTCTATATAATGAGGAGAAACGGTACCCGGTGAAGAGAAACCTGAACCTAATTGCTGGCAGAAAAAAATTCAATTGGAAAATTCTAAAATTTGAAGCAATTACATTTCATACCTCAACTTCAGGATTAAACCCTCTGAATGACATTCTTCCATAGAGAAGATCTTCACATAACAAGAAACTCTGTTCTTCTATTATGAAACTCCTAAATGGGAAAATAAACCTGTATCAATAGGGTGTCTACTTACAACAAAACAGAGGAAGTAAAAGTCAAGACTTGGAATGAAAAATTAATCCTATGGTGCTCAGCAGGTTGAAGTACAAATAGAGTAAGATTTCTAAGCCAGTGTTAGAAATAAAGGAAGATTAATTAGGTCCACAAAGGCATTAGGAGAGAACAGCTAAGGTGAGTGGCACAGCCTCTTTTAAACACTGTGCATAAATGCTTACAGGAAATATAAAGACTTACGTTTTCACAATAAACTTGAAGTTTCTAAAGTAAAGAATATTATTTGAAATTTATACCCATCCCCATGTTCTGATTCCATATTGAGGAAAATAACAACAACAACAAAACAATTCAGAAGAGGCCTTTTTTAGAGGTTGTATTGGTTGGTGCTCTGTTATAAACACAAAGATTGGCCCTGGAAACTAGAAAACAGGCAAATTACCAAACACTGGTGGCTTAAATCATCAGAAATTCATGCTCCTACTGTTCTGGGAGTGAGAAGGGCAAGATCGAGGTTGGCAGAACTGTGACCTCTGCAGAGGCGTTAGCAGAGAATGCACACAGCCTTGCCAGCTTCTAGGGTGGCAGTCAGCACTGCCTGACTTGGGATGATCTCACTCCAGCCTTTCTGCGTTCTTGGTCACCACGCCTTCCTTCTCTGTATATTGAATCTCCCATCTTTTCTTCTATAAGGTGCTATGGTTTGTTCCCCAAGAGTTAGAAGGCTGGTCCCCAGTGAGGCCACATGACAGATGATGGGACCCCTGGGATGTGGCGTTTGTGTGAAGTAGTCAGGTCAGAAGAGGTCATTGCACCTGGGAGGGAATGCCAGTTTCAAGCCAGTTTTTCCTAAAGGTGGAGCCTGAATAATGCCTCTCTGGCTTCCTAGCTTAAGATGTTACCTCCCCGCTCCACATACACTACTCTTCATGAGGTCTTTGCCAAAGCTCAGCTGAGGGCAAAGCTAAAGCTGGTATTACGTGCTTGAATCTCCAGAGCCGTAAGCTAAAAAAGTTCCTTCCTTCTGAAGCTACTCAGCTTCAGTCACTTCATTACAGTATCAAAGAAAGAACCACTACACAAGGAAATGTGTGATTATTATATTCAGGGTCCACCCACATAATCCACGATAATCGCTCTCCCGAAGATCCTTAACTACAGCAGAAAAGTCAGTTTTCCCACACCAGGTAATGTACACAGCTTCCAGAGAGAAGGAATTGGATATTATCTGACCATTTTCTAGCCTACCACACCTAGGAAGGAAAATTTATTCTTTAACTATATGTTGAACAAATACCAGAGCTTGGAGAGCAGGGAAATGTCTAGCCACAGGACAGAGATCCAGCTGAATATTCCATGACACGGGGCACAAAGGCCATACCTTATAAGTAGGGTTAATTTAATTCTAAGAGTAAAAGTTATAAAACCCACTCTAACAAAACAATAAGCCATGTAAATTTGCTGCCTAATGGAACAAAATTAACTTTACAAGGTAGACACAAAATCTAGGCAGTTAATGTTAACACACATAATGTACAGCACACACTCAAAATCACTAGACTTGTAAGGAAGCAGGAAAATGCAACCTTCATAAATAAAAGAAAAACAAATCAACAGAAAGAGATGACAGATTAGTAGAGAAACTTAAAAAACAAATAAAACAAGTGGAGATTCTATACCTGAAAAACAAAGCAAAACTGAAGTGAAAAAGTAGCACAGTCTCTTATCAAAGAAACAATTCATTATTTAAAAAACTCTCCACTGAGAAAATTTCAGGTCCAGATCGCTTCATTCAAATTTTATCAAATGTTTAATAAATCATATCAATTTTATACAAACTAAGAAATGAAGAGGTAGGAATATCCTCCAACTCATTTTATGGCCTAAACGAAAGACTACAAAAATCTATAATCTAGTATCTTTTATGAATATAGTGGCAAAAGCATTACTAAAACATTAGCAAACTGAATTTAAAAAATATAAAACTATAACTTCTGGGTGTGGTGGCACATGCCTATAATCCCAGTACTTGGGAGGCTGAAGCAGGAGGATCGTTGTGAGTTCAAGACCAAGCTGGGCCACAAAGTGAGCTGAAAGTCAGCCTGATCTACATAGTGAGACCTTATCTCAAAAGGATAAAAAAAAAACTGTAACAGACAAAAATCAAGTAAAGTGTATGTTGAACATGTAATGTTGATTAGAAAATCAGTAATTCCTAGCACATTAACAAAATAAAAATCATGTATTTCCAATCAAAAATTATTTGACAGAATTCCACATTACTTATGAAAGCTTCAGCAAATTAGGAAAAGAAGGAACGATCTTCAGTGCTGACAAAGAGCATCTACCGAACACACAGCACATCAGACTTAAGAGTGAAAAGATATTTTCCTAAGATCCAAAAAATGCAAGGATATCCATTCCTCTGCCCATGAAATAAAGTAAAAAGTAAGAGCTATAACTCTCTCTGTAGTACTGAGGATTGAGCGCAGTAAGGGTTGTGATATACCTTCACCCTGCCTTTTAAAATTTTGAGACAAGGTCTCTGCTAAGTTGTCCTCATGGGCCTCAAATTTACAATCTGCTTAGCTGAGAGTTGTAACTTAGTTCTAGCTGTAGGATGACCCTGCCTGCACTATGCCCATGAATAAGGTAGCAGCTCCTGTAGACACCTGCCTGTCTCCAGATTCGACCACCACTCCTGCACCTTGATCCTCCAGGCCTGGAGTGGAAATTATTCCTACTGCACAAACCAGGACCCACAGCACCGCCCTTCGTGGCTCCCCTGTACCAACTTACACCCTGGCAGCCTTTACGGTGATCTCAGATTACTCAATCTGATAGTGTCTAATTGGACAGTGTCATTTTTCCTGCCCACATCCTGAGCTAATAAACACACCTACACATCAACAGGATGCTGAGTGATGGCAAAGCTTTTCTTCACTTTCCCACAAATGGAACCTAAAGGTTATTTTCAGGAACGATATGCTATTTGGGGGAGGAAAAAAAAACTGGAAAAAAACAGAATTGTTCCTGCCCTTCAGTAAGCATCTGGATAACTTGGTACAACTCTAGTGAAGACACAAAATTAAACTATAGCTCATCTTCAGTACTGATCCTTTCCTGCCCCAACCGGACCCATTCACATTGCCTCTAGTATTACCTTCTCCATTCTCACCCTCCCTCTGAAATGTAGAGGAAAAAAGTCCCTCACCCTAATTTATCCTGATGGGACACACTTTCTATCTTTACAGAAAGTGACACCTAAACTTCTGAAAAGGTAGAGAATAAGGTCAGAAAAATAATAAAGAAATTTATCACAGTAAATAAAAATACAAACTATTGGGGGGAGAAAGGAAATACATACACGGTTCCCCAAATAGTAAGTGGTATCTTCAGTTATTTGACAAGAGTTTAAGTAAAACCATATATCACAAAGTGTACTAAGGTAAGAAAACTACTAGGGAAAAAGGATAAATAGCTTCCAGAAGCACTCGAACAAATTAATGATGTTAATTCACTACTTCTTCATTCAAAATAGTTTCTTAAGCATGAGCCAGGCTTGGAGGTTGAATGGAAACTGTCTAGTGTGTTATCCCCAGCTTCAGCACTGACTAAACTGGGTGGTTCTAGGCAAATTACCTTCTCTGAAGTTCTAGCTGCTCAGTGGACAGAATGATAGTGGGCAGTCTGCTATGAGAGTTCAATAACTCAGGGACATAAGGGGATAGTCCAGTGATTGGAATACACTATAGTCTCAGGAAAAGTTTGCTAAATGAATGGTATTACTTTCAACAGTTGAAAAGAGAAAAGAAACAAAAAGTTCCTGATGTGCCTTAAGAAGCTTAGCTTAATAAAGAATTCTATAACTGAAACAAAACTGGACAGCCAGAAGCATACATCTGACCTTTGGAACTCCATATGATAGCATATTATAGCTTCCATAAAAGGCCCCTTGTTACTATCAGAGGTGCATAGCTTAAATTCCTTTATTGAATGTTGAAAAGGAACAGTGTTATGTAAATGACAGTCTGGCACCACTAAAAATGTATTAAATTCATGTATAATTTTGATATGCTTAATAGTTTTTAGAAAGCCATTTGCAAGGCTAACTCAAGAAACTGAACAGAAACTATTTTACCTCATCAGAATAAGTAAAATTTACAGGGATCCCCTCTGACTGTCCCAAGCATCACTGATATAAATTCTTATAAACCTACTCTTTCTCCTTAAGCTCTGGCAAATCCAAGTACCAATGCTCTTCACTAATGATCTTCTTTTCCTCCTCTTCTAGTTGTTTCTTGGTTTCTGAGTCCAGTCCTCTTTGCATGAACTGTCAGGACAAAACAAAATTAATGACAGCACTGTTGTTTGCCTAGCATTATTAAGGCTAAGGCTGCACCTGGTATACAAAAGAGTTTAATAAAGGGTCTTCTGGGCGTGAATGACCTAGTTTGTCTTATTTTTTTTCAGAGTCTTTCTTAGACTGTTCTCTTGAAAGCAGATAGTTTATTTCTTCACTCATATTCTTGGTGGTAAAACCCTAATCCTGCTCAACTGCCCATTTACTTCTCATTTTTTAGTCAAGTAGACATCCTTTATGGTGTACAAATGGCAGTCCTATCTTAAGGACTATTTTAGTATCAAGATACTAAAATCAGGTAAGTACTTTCTCTACAGCCAATCTATCACACTGGTAAACTTACCACCTACATCCTTTTTTCTACTTCCCATCAGGATCAACTTTGACCCCTCAACAACTGATGATGTCAGTGGAGTTTAAAAGCCCTGAGAATAAGTGAGTCAGGATCAATGCTCAGTGCTCTTCCATCAGTCCTACACTTAGCTCTGGGTGAACAGACACTAGCTACGATGCTGTGAGTGGCAGCTGCTCTGTTGTCTTTCCTATAAACTCTACTCTCTGTATATACTATCTCCTGCTGTCCCCTGCTAAATTCAATGACTGCAGCTGCTAACCCAAAGACAACCTGAATAATTTTTCCCTTTTTCTCCTTTGCTTCTAATATCCAGATGACTCTTTCCCCATTCACTTGGGTGGGCATGGATTGTTTTAAATTTAAATTTAAATTTTCAGGCTGGGGATATAGCTCAGGGGCACAGCACTTGCCTGGAAGCATGAGGTCAAGAGTTCGATTCCCATTACCAAAAAATAAATCCAAAAAACCTTAAATTGGGTTTTTGCTTAACTCCAGACTCCAATCTTCAGTCTAAGTCTTAATCACCTAGAATATATTTTCATTTGTCTTATTCTAAGCGCTAAAACTTGGGCTAAAAATCTTTTCAACGCTTACATGGCCAAACTCCTCCACTTCTCTGAAATCAATGTGATTATAACCTTTAAAGAAAAATTCTCTTCAGTGAAGACTCACCTTTTTCTAATATGCATAAAAAATTACTTTACAAACTACATTATGCTACAATTTGCCCTCCTCCTTCAGTCATCCTATTCATCCCTAGCCACAGCCCAGCTCAACTCCATTTAAATTTTCTAGTTTACTCTCCAATATTCAAAACATGACTTACACCTTGCTTTTCTTGGAAATTCTGCCACTCTCTAAACATGTATCTAAGTTTGTCTCTACAAGTACAGATTATCTCCAAATTAAAATGGTTTGACTTACAAATCTTAAACTGTACGATGGCAGGAGAACCAGTAGTTCAAATTTTGATCTTTTTCTTGGCTAGCCATAAATAGAATGATACTGTCTGGTGATGGTGAGGAACAGTGGTGAGCCACAGTTCCCAGTCAGCTATGCAATCCTCAGGATAAAGTACAGTGTTGCTAAACTAAGATGCTCACAGGTTACGTGTGCCTAGTGCATTTTTATGTTATTGTTGACTTACAGTGCATCAAAGAGGATCTACAGTGTTCGTGAAAGGCACTGAGCATAGTAATTAAAATCAGAGTAGTAATTGAATAATTAAGTTGTGTAACTTTAGGCAGCTGTCACTTCTGTTTTAGTTGCCTCAGCTGTCAATAAGTATTATATGAATTATGTGGGTTATGAGGCACAAAACTCTTAGAACAGTATCTGGCATACAGCAAAGACTGTGAATATTTCCTTTTTGTATTACCTAACTTTTAAAGTATAGTGGTTGCCCTGTTTTAATTCCTGTGTTCATTTTATCTATCCTTGTCTTTTTTCTTCCACTTTGAAATTATAATTAAATTGCTTCAATTTCAAACTTAAAATAAGCTGGGCGACAACTCACTTTCACACAACTGTTTATAATTTCCTACATTCTCATCTCAATTACTGATCTGCCCACAATTTTGTGCCTTGGCTGGCCCTTTTCCCCTCAATGTATTCTCCATAGGATAGTTAAATTAATCTTGAACAGGAGCCAGAGAGACTGTTATCCACGCTCTTCCATAGCTTCCTATTGTTCACACCAGACGAAAAAAATCCTTAATCTGGCCTCAAATTCCCTGCAAGTTGTGCCCACTGCCTACTTTCTCATTCCCTCTTCTTGTTACTTGCCTTCCAGACATAACTCAGGTGTCTTTAGTTCTTGGCGATCTCCATGTTTTTCTTTTCTTTTTTTTTTTTCCTTTCCTTTCAGACTTCTGAATTCGCTTTTCCTTTAGGACACTATCCTCCCATTTATCTTCAGTCCCTACCTAAGGACCACTTCCCGCAACAGGCCCCACTAAATTCCCAGAGTCCCGGATTTCCACCATCGCTGCACTTGATTCGCTGTACCTTTACCGCCTGCTTACGTGAATGCAGGCTCCTAATTCATACTCTGGTTCCGGGTGTCTAACGTCGGACAGACACTGACTGAATGAATGAACGAGACAAATGGAGGCCTTCCAGGACCTCTCTGGTCCCCCTATCCCCACCACAAGTATGTCCACCGCCTTGGCCCCAAACAGATCCGGAGGTCCCTAGGGGCCCTGTCGCCCAGTCCGACTCTCCCAGAATCCCCGCACCTTCATGCGTAGCAAGTTCTTGGACAACTTTGTCTTGCGCTCAGCCGCCATGTCAACTCCAGACTAGGGAAGCGTTCCTGCCACGAGACTTACTGCGCATGCGTGCTGTTGCGCGCGGTGAGTGACGTCACACGTATCGTGCGTGTCCCCGCCCCGCGGCTCCGCCTCCGTGGCTCGAGCTTTGGCGCTTGCCAGTCTCTTCACCAGTTACTTCAGAGAGCGCCGGTCTCTCGCGGTAGCTCGGGTAAGGGCACGGGCTGCCAACCAGAGGGTGAGAGTGACTTACAGCCGGTGGGCGGACCCCAAAGGTGTGGAGTCTGTTACGCCCTGGCAGGGTGTCCTCTGGGGCCCTAGCAGGGCGCACGCCTGGGCGGCGGCCCGGGAACCTTCCAGGGCCCGCCCCCTCCCCCGCCTTCCCGCTGCGCTTCCGGTGGGGGGCGGTGGTGCGGGCGAACCGTTCACGCGCTTTCCACACTTGCCGTCCTTCTGGGCCGTTTACTTAGCCTGGGTTTTAACATGGGTGGCGAGCGCCTTATATTCCTACTTGCTCTACAAGGCACAAGTTCACTTTATAGTCGCAGTCGCCGGTGAGGCGCTGTTGACACTGTACTAACCTCACAGAGCAGCCTTGGGAAGCCGGGCTGGCTTTAGAATGGTCCTGGAACGCATCGCGACAAATACAGTGGAAAACACCCATTCACTGCTTTGTGCGTCTTTGTGTTTAAACGTTAAATAGGAAGAAAAGCAAGAAATAGCAAGCGCTATGGGCAGGGGTGGGTGTCAAAGACAAAGAGGGCGTTATTTTAAGTAAAGAGTTGAAAGAACATTGAAAAGAGGGTAGCCTTATTATTCAATGCACTAGCTACTGTCCACTGACATTTTTTTCCGCACAGTTGACAGGCTTTATACTTTGGAAGCATCCAGCCTAGTAGCATTTCAGCTAATAGCATGTACTATATATCAAAATTACTAGCTGGGTACCTTATGTCATAAAAACTGTGAAGAACGCATTGGTGTCACGTATTAGGGAAGCTGAGGTTTAGGAAGATAAGGGACCTGCTAAATTAGTGTTAAAGCTGAGATTCAAAAGCATTTTGAATATTTAAAGCCTTACAATTTTTCCTCAGGAGGAAGGAGGGACATTATAATATGCCAAGTGTTTAGAGAAACTCATTCTCTGATAACTGTGAGGGGACACTGGAGTACAGCAGTGCATAAAAACACACGGCCACCCTTGGAGCTGACATTTGAGCCATGAATAAGTGGTGAGTGCCATGGAAGAAAGAGAACAGTGATGTGATAGAGTGACTTATAGAGTACTTTAGATAAGATAGTCCAAAATGGCCCTTGTTAGATGATAATGCTAAGGCTTGAATGCTGACAAAATTCTGTGTATGAAGATTTGGAGGTAGAGTGTACAAAGAGAAGGAGGGTATAGTAACTGTAAAGGTCCTGAAATGAGAATGAGATAAAAGTTCCTGTTTCATAGAGGTTACCCAGTGGGTACAATACACATTAACCACATATAGTTTGAATGATGTCCTTTAAAATTCAGATAGTGAAATCCTACGCCCCCATATTCGGTTGGAAATAGAGCCTTTAAAGATGTGATTAAGTTAAAATGAGACCTGTAGGATGGACCCTAAGCTGGTATATCTGCTGTCCTTGCTTTGGTTTTTTTGTTGTTGCTGGGAATCAAAACCAGGACCTTATCTATACTAGACAAATGATTTACCCCAGACTATCTCTGTAATCGCAGTGTCCATATAAGAAGATAAATTTTGAGCCCACAGGCGCGAGAGGTATGTGTACATAGAGTAAAGGCCTTCTGCAAGCCAAGGGGAGAGGCCCCAGAAGTCAAACTTGGCAACACCTTGCTCTTAACTGTGATAAATAGAAGCCACAACTATAAGTCTGCAGTTGTTTGTGTATGTGTGTGTGTGTGTGTGCGAGAGAGAGATGGCCCTAGTAAACTAACATACTGTGTAGATTTAGATTACAGTTGTGATGAGAGTTCTGTAAGAAAAGTGTGAGGTTCATGAGATGGTACCTAAACCATTTTGGTCTTGAAAAGAGGAGGCTCCTGACTGTGATGTTTAATGGGAGGTCTGAAAGGAGAGAAGTTAGGTTGGGCAGAGACCTTCTAGTCATTCCCATTGTTGTGTGCCATTACTACCATCCATTTTGCAAAACTCAGACTCTGTCCATTACACAGCCACTCCTCAGCCCCTTGCAACCGCTATCCACTTTCCGGTTCTATGCATTTGACTTCTATTCAGTGTTTTGTAAGAAGTGCTGTGGAAGCAAAGATGAAGAAGTGAAAGTCTGCCACCTGCATCCAGGAAATGAAGGGACGTTTGAAGGATAAGCATATATTTTTTTAGCTCAAGAAAAGGAAAACAGCATTCCTGGCAGAAATAAGAGTATATGTACAACCAGCTAAGAATGGTACAAATTCATACTTTATCAAAATGTAGATCCTCATTTTCACCAGTCGGCTTGCACACAGGATTTTGATTTGTTTTCCTGAAACACTGATATTGTCGTGTCACTCCCTTAATCCAAAATTTACAATAGCTGTTACTCTTTGAGGGGTAAGGGTCAAAGTCTTCAACTTGCCACTTAAAATTCTATTTTTATTTGACAGTGGGAATACTTAAAATGAATCTCCAAAGTCTTTTTTTCACCTTTCAAAGTGTAATAAGTGAGAAGTGACGTAAGAGTAATAGTGTAACTGAGTGTGGCAGTGCACATCTGTAATCCCAGCACGTGGGAGGCTGAAGCAAGAGGATTGCTGTGAGTTCAAATTCAGCCTGGGCTATATAGTGAGTTCAAGTCTTCCTGAGCTACATGGCACCCTGTCTCAAAAAAATTTAATTTTAACTTTGAATTAAAACTCCCTGACAGGGAAGATAATGCCTTCGTCTTTCTGTGCTACTGAATTGCAGAATGAAGATAGATCACATGATAATGTTTAACCTGCTGTAGTTACACAGCCAGGGAAACATTAGAGGAAGAAATATTTTGAATATGTCTTCACACAGTTCAGAGTCATTTTATAGTAGAACTTGTTGAAAGTGAAAGCTTCTTTTCCGTTCCTGTCAGTTCCTGGATCCATGAAGAAAGAAAAAGTTCCTGACTTGTTTCTCTCCTGCAGCTGCCCAGTACAGTAGGCGCTGGTCAAATGTAGCTCCTGAGCACTTGAAATGTGACTTGTATATCTCAGCGACTGATATTTAATGTTATCTAATTTAAATTTTAAAATAATTATAAAATATTTTCTGTATTCAGAGCATCGTTGTTTTGGAAGTACCACATTATACTTTTGCCTTTGAAAATTTAGCATCTGAGTTGAGATGTAGTAGAAGTGTAAAATACATACTACATTTCAAAAACTTAGAAGATGGAAAAAAAGTAAAATATCGTAGTATTTTTATGTTGAGTACATGTTGAAATAATAGTTTGGATGTTTTCTTTGAAATAAAACAATATTAAGATGAATTCATGTGTTTTTATTTACTTTTTAAATGTGGTTACATGTGTGACTTCTCCCTGTCTCTCCTTTCACCTCCCTCCCTCTCATTTTACAGCACAGAATTAAATGCTAGTTTTGTTCATTTATTTGCAAGTACCAGATATTGAAATAACTTATTTTAAGAATTAAGTTTTATTAGAAAAGATGCTGGGTAGTTAGTAGAATTGATGAGAAAGCTTCAAAACAAGGCTGGATTCAAAAGAGAAGCAAGGACAGCCCATGGTTTTAGAAAGCAGGAATAAATTTAATGCCACTGCAAGAATGGGTGAAATACCAACTGATTTCTGTACTTAAGACACTTCCAAGTTTTCAAAGTCAAGGAAAAAGTCTTCTTTGTCTTAGTTTAGTATAGAATCTATTTTACAACCCCAGCAAGACTGTGCACAGTAGAGAGAGCAGTTCTTTAAAGAAAAATTAGGTGCTGTTCCTTGAAGAGAGGGACTGTAATATTCAAAGAGCATTGCTGAGGGTTCTGCTAAGATAGACCTAGAGGCAAACAATTGTTTTGCTTGACAGGTGGGAAATTCAGGTCCAATATCAGATCTAGTTTTTAAAATCACAAAATGTACTCCCTGTTTCTGCATCCCTGTGTCATTCGTTAAAGAAGTATTTAATGTCTGCCTGTTGTATGCAAATTATGACTTTAGGCTTCTAACCTAAAAATCTAAGTAGTGCAATACATACCTTCAGTTCTTACATTAAGTTATTTATCAAGTTCTTTCAATTACTTGTTCATAGGTGTCTTGGTTAAATCAGAGTATTAGTGCTGTAAATGGCCTTGCAGGAAGGATATCTGAGTAAGTAATTCCTAAACATCAACGTGTTGTTATGACAGGATGACCAGAGGAAATGAAAACACTTGAAAAAGAATAACAACATTTCTAATGATCAGCCAGGTTTTAGGAGATTGTTAAACTAGATGGACCTAATTATATATACCAAATTGTGTAAACTCAGAATTGTTTTGTTAACTGCATTTAGTTTGCTTTTTCTTGTGCCCGCGCCCCCTGCCCCCGTCATCCCTTTTTCTATCACTGGATTTATGCCTAAAATCTTACTGCATTATGACTCTAATTTATACTCCTATTTTTTCTGCTGCCTTTTTCTTTCTTTAACAAATTTTTTTAGTATCCTTGTGATCTTGGCATTTATAGGTGCTGGAGAAACCTTCCCTTCTGTCTGGATAAGCCACAAACCACGCTATAGGTCCTAAGAACTGTCCAATAGAGATAAAATTGCAGGAAACAATCTGGGTTTGAGTTTTGAGAGCCTGGTTTGGGGAAGTGACATCTTAAGTAGAGTCTTCAAAATGAGTTAGAAGTTTTCCCAGTGAAAGGAAAGGGGCAGGGAGGAGTGGAGGATGTTTCAATCTGATGGAAGAGGGTTTGAGTGTTGCCTGTTGTATAAGTGACAAGACTGGAGAGGCAAGCTAGGGCCAGAACCTGAAGGCCATGTGTTAGATTGGTAGGATTTTATCTGCAAGTTATGGTAAGACTGTTGAACTGTTGCAAGCAGAAGAATGATACCATTTTAAAATTACGCAGTAGAATAGTCATTTTAAAGATCACTCTGTCTGAAAGTACAGTAGAG